TATTATCTAACAGATTTAGTTACTAAACTTGGGCTTATAGTTAGGCCCATTACATAGATAGACATCCCCCCTGCTTAACAAAAAAAATACAAGCAATTTATCTATTTGTTTGAGAAATAGTAATATCCAGTGGTCCCATAACATGTAATATGTCACGAAGATAACCAAATGCTGCAGTAGGCAATAGCTTTGTTAGAATATCAGCTACTTGCTCTGTGGAAGGCATATGATGCACATCAAGTATTTTACTTTCAACTTTCTCTCGTATGAAGTGTAGATCAAGTTCAATATGTTTAGTTTTTGCATGTAAGACAGGATTTACTACTAATGCAACTGTACCAATGTTATCAACCTATATAATAGGAATGCTAATTAAAGATATCATCATTTCATTAAGCAGCGCTTTAACCCAGATAACATTAACAATAGCATCAGCCAAACTTCGATACTCAGCTTCAGTAGATGACCATGCAACAACAGCCTATTTCCTTAAAGTCCAAGAGATTGGATTATTACTTAGATAAATGCAAAATCCACTAGTAGAATGTCGGTTAGGTTTGTCACCCTTCCAGTTAGAGTCAGGACCCCAATTTGAATCTAAAAAAGCCTAAAGAGTAAACTGAGTAAGGGGTTTAATAAGCATATCATGACTAACAGTTCCTGTAAGGTACCTAAGTAACCTTTGAACATACTCCCAATGAGCTAATAATGGTTGATGCATATACTGACTTAAATAGTTCACAGTACAAGCTATTTTTGGCCTTGTATAGCAAACATATTGAAGAGTGCCCATAGTACTATGATATAATGTAGTATCATGAATATCTTTTCTGTTTTCTTTATTCAATTGTACTTGCGTTGCCATTTGAGTTGAAATAGGTGTAACTCTAAGCATTTGAGTCTTTTTAAGAAGATCAAGAATATATTTTTTTGAGTTAAAAGAATCCTATTAGGAACCTTTTTGAACTCAATGCCAAGAAATAAAGTCAAATCATCGAGATCTTTTAAGGAAAATAGTGCAATCATCTGCTGAATTAATTTCTACACTTCATCTACACAACTCCCAGTCACACTAAGATTGCTCTTCTTTATAAATAGACAGGAATCTGCTCGAGTTGCAGTAAACCCCATAGAATTAAGGGACTCTTTGAGTTTGTGAAACCATACTTGTGGGGCTTGCTTTAATCCATAAATGGACTTTTTCAATTGACAGACCAATCTGTTAAAGGAGTTGGGAGCAGAAATTTCAAAACCCAGTAGTTGTTCTATATAAATTTCCTCATCAAGATCACCATTTAAGAAAGAATTATTGAAATCAATTTGGTGTAAGCACCATTCTTTTGTAACTGCCAAAGTGAGTAACACACGAACAGATGCTGGCTTTACTACTGGACTAACTGCATATGTATAATCAATTCTAGCTTCTTGTGAATAGCCCTGAGTAACTAGTCTAGCTTTAAACTTTACTATATCACCATTAGCATTCTTTTTTCTTTAAAAATCCATTTACAGCCTATTGGCCTTCTATCTGTAGGTAAAGGCACAAGAGACCAAGTATTGAACTTCACTAAGGCATCATACTCAGCATGAGCAGCAGATTTCCACTGAGGATCTTGAAAAGCTTGATAAATGTTCTTAGGACAAGAGTCAATAGCAGTAGCAAGAAGCACATGTGGTCTAAAAATTCCAGCTTTAGCTCTTGTAATCATAGGATGCATAGTGAGGTGAGGCCCAATAGTAGGAGAGGAAGACTGAGAAGTGGATGAGGATGAGGAAAATGGAGTAACAATAGAGGAAGTATTTGAAACTGATAAATCAAGTAAAAAAGTAGAAGAGGAAGTGGTTGGATTTGAAACTAATAAATCAGGTAATGAAGTAGAAGGGGAAGTAGTTGGATTTAAAACTGATAAATCAGGTAATGAAGTAGAAGGGGAAGTAGTTGGATTAGGTAAGGACGCAAAAGAAGGAAAAATAATAGTAATAGGTGAAGTAGGTAGCAAAACAGAAGAAGTAATTTGAGGTGAGGATGATGATGACTGTTGAAAGAAAGTAAGAGCAGGAAAAATAGACTTATGAAATTTAAAATGTCTAGATATGTAAACTCGTCTAGTAATAGGCTCAAGACATTTGTAACCTTTATGTTGTTAACTGTAGCCAAGAAAGATACAAGGAGTAGAATGGTATTGTAATTTGTTTTGATTATAAGCACGTAACCAGGGAAAACATTGACAGCCAAAAACCTTGAGAATAGAATATACTAGATGTTGCTTGAATAATTTTTGATAAGGTGAAATACCCTATATAGCCTTGCTAGGCAAGCGATTCATAAGAAAAATATCTACTACAAATGCATCACTCTAGTAATAAAGAGGTAAAGAAGCCTGAGCCAATAAGGTAAGCCCCATTTCTACAATCTGACGATGTCGTCTCTCAACTAAACCATTTTGTTCAGATGTGTATGGACATGTAACCCTGTAAAAAATACCAGACTTGACTAGAAAATTCTTGAAAACCAAAAACTCACCCCCCGAATTAGTTTGTAACATTTAAATTTTAGACTCAAATTTGTTCTCTACTTGAGACTTAAATTTTTTAAAAGAATTTAATGCGTCGAATTTTTTGGCCAAGAAATTAATCCAAACAAATCGATTAAAAGCATCAATGAAAGAAATATAGTAACCAAAACCATTTGACATTTGAGGTGCAGGACCCCACAAATCAGCAACAACAAGTTGGAGAGGTTTATCATAGAGAGTAACAAAATCTTGGAATGGCAACTTATGACTTTTGCCTAAACAACATGCCTGACACATATCATAAGAACTCATCTTTGAAGAGATAGAAATATGATTCATAGAGAGAACTTGCTTCACTACATCAAATGAGGGATGTCCTAAACAATTATGCCATAAGGCTATAACATCATCTAATATAGAAAAACAATCAGTATAAGTTTTATTATCACAAGAAGCAAGCACAACACCATTAGACTGTAACTTGTACATTCCCGAGTGCTCAAACCCATGCATTAGGAGCTTCCTAGTCTGCATATCCCTAATAAAATAGGCATGAGGCCAAAACTTAACAAAAACCCCATTATCTTTGGCAATTTTATGAACAGAAATCAAATTCTTTTATATATTAGGCACATGTAAGATTTTGTTCAACTGAAAAGTAGTATTTAGGGTAGTAATAGTAGATTTACCAACTTCCTTTATATTCAAAAGATGACCATTACCTACTTGTACTTAGCCACCACGCTGAGAAGAGTCAACTTGTTGAATATTCTGAGTATTATGAGCAATGTGCTAAGTTGCTCTAGAATCAAGGTACCAAGACTCATCTTGTACAGTCTGAGGAGTAGCAATATACGCTTGAGCTAAAGATACAGCATAAGCTTGTGAATTTGATGATGATGCACCAGTAGTTGAGGTAGACAAAGATGCTGCCAATCCAGAATAATCTGATGGAGAATAACAGGAAGACATATATTCCACTCCAATAGCATCAGGGACTATAAAATCAGCAATGTAAGGATCAGCAGAGTAATCTGAGTTGACATAGTTGACTTGAGTAGGAGGAGGAGAGTCATACGAGTAATTGTACCTGAAATAACATTTTGAAGCGGTGTGACCGATTTTAGAACAAATTTGACATATAGGTGCACAAGATCTAATAAATCTACCACGACCTCGACCAAATCCTCGACTAAAAAATAAAGTTCGAAAACCATGTCCAGCACTGCTAGTCTAAACTTACATAGCATTTTTCGTAGGTACAGCAGGTGACCATGGTAAATGGGTAGCAACATTGACAATAGTGGATTGTTGTTGAAGATAGGCACGATGATGTGCCTCCAAATCAAGTAACATTATTGAAACTATACTTAAACCAAATTGAGCCTTGTTTACATTGATAATAGCAATACTTGGTTCATACTCAGTAGTCAAGCCATTCAAGATGTGCAATATTTGAGAAGTATCGGAGACCTTGTGACCCAACGCAACCAATTGTCACATATCGATTTGATGTGCACTAAGTAATCCTTCATTGAAAGATCACCTTTCTTCTAAGTCGTCAATTGATTTTGATAGTGAAGAATACACAATTCCGATTTGGCGCTTCTAGATTTGAGAGGTATTAAACCCAACCAGATCAAGAAGAATAGTTAGACTAACCATGGACAATAACCATGACGCAAGAGCAATGTCACTTTGCTCATATAATTCAAAAACAGGATTAACAACCATACGACCTTGATTATCTTGAATAATTGTCGGAGGAACAATTGCAATGCCTTCTAAAATTGAATGTAGCTAGTATTGTTTAACCATCAAAAACACATGTTGCTTCCATAAAAGAAAGTTGTTGTCGTCGAGACACACATTAATCTTTTTATTGGAAAAAGATCATTGAGATTCAGTAGCTATTAATGGAGTCGAAGTAGCCATAGACGAATAAACAATGATAGAACGAAGCAGAGGAAAGAATGGATCGAAAAAAAATCAAAGTTACCAAAATGATAGCTCTGATACCATATTAGGTTTAGAAGAAAATGAAGATGAAAGATATGATAAGTACTTAAATTTTATTAACTGAATACATTTAAATTACAATGAAACCTTTATATAACCAGATCAATCATAACTAATGCTTAAATAATTTGATTATTATCTAATAGATTTAGTTACTAAACTTGGGCTTATAGTTAGGCCCATTACATGGATAGACAAGGACGTCTTTCTCCATAAACACAGGATTGAGTGCAAAGAGTACAAGTTTTGACAAGCGTCCAACTTTGTTCTTCTTCTTTGGCATGTGATGTAACATCCTAAAAATTTTAAGACTCAAATTTATTTAAAAAAAATAAACAAAAATAAAATAAAATATCTATAATTAAATTAAAATTTAGAATAATTTAATAGAGGCCCAGAGTTTGAATTTTACTAAGCAAAAGTTTGGTTTTATTTGATTTTTAACTATGAGAAAAATTACCAAAGTTGACCCGGGCTTTTGTGCAATAATAAAAAATGTTGGGCCCTTTCTTGTAATTTTCCCCAAACTTTTTGACCAGCAATTTAAAGACCCAAATTGATGCAGAAACGCAGAAATTGAGTTGGAAAGGAAAGGAAAGGAAACGTATGAGAGGGAGAGAGGAAGAAGAGAAGAGAAAGGGAGGGAGTTAGGCTTGGATCTAGGAGTCTTTGCGACCGTTGCGAGCTCGGCTACACGATAGGTAAACTCCCTACTTCAATCCTCTTCTCTTTCTCTTGATTTTCTTCAATTTTTGGAAGAGGAAATTTTTGGATTTTGATCCCAAAGGCTTTATTCTTGTAAGCTTTTATTTCTTTGGATCCTAGGGAGCATGTTTTGAGTTTCTAGATAGTGATCTAATATTTTGAGTGGATAATTGGATGAAAAGAGGTGTTTTGGGCACAAAATAAACCTTGAGAAATTGGGTTTTTGCTCCTCAATGGTTTAAGCCTATTGATTTAGTTATAATTTTGCTATTTGAGCCCAATAAGATTTAAATTAAGGTTTGGTTTTCATTATAAGGGCTAATGGTGAAAGTTGGTGGCACTAAGTAAAGGTTTTTAATTGATTAAAAAAAATTATATAAATTGAAAATTAGCCTAGTGATGGCTAATAAATGGTTTTGGTGGTTAAGTGATACTATGTGAATGGTTGGTTTAATATATGGACCATTAGGGTGGATTATGACTCATTGACCTAAGTTGTGTGGTATAAGTTATAGTCTTCATTAATACTATTTGTCATGATAAGTGATGTGGATCACTTATATGTTGTAGAAAATTGTTGGTGGAACTTATTGAGAAGTAAGGAACAAGCCGAGCCCTATTTTGTACAAGGGGAACTCTTTTAGTACCAAAGGGTTGAGGTAACAGGGGAATTTATATTTCTTATTACTTTATTTTAGCTATTTTTGAATAAATATTACTAGTTATCATGCATTACATGTTTTAAAAGATTAAATGTGCTTTATAAGGGGTTATGGGGTACTACTTTGATTATAGTGCAAATATGTTTTCTAATTGTTTAATAACAATGTTTTTATGGAAATGAGATTTATAAATATTATACTACTTTAGAGTGTTGAATGGTCAATACTCAGGAAAGGTAGACAAGAGTAAAAGGCATGATCTCGGTGGGAGTTCACCAATGAGAAGGTGTGGATTTTTGATATTCTATGGCACACTGTCAGTACTCAGTGTTGTCTTACGTATTGTGGGCTCAGTGCACTAAAGTGGTTAGTGTATTGAGTGTTCGACACCTCTCAGTGGGGGAGGGAATCCGACATATGAAGTGTGAGGTTGAGTGCCTAGGCCAAGGTAGCCCTCACATGGAGAGTAAGTCGGGCTGGCTCTGGGAGGAAGTTAGCTTTGACTGCTCAGGATTCACGTCGAAGGGGCATAGGCGGTTCGGTGGATTAGATCATGCCTTAGATTATGTTTTGTGCCTGTGGAGGTACAAGTAGGTATAAGGTTTACCTGCGAGTTAAAGAGTGCCAGGGGGCATTCTGTTGGTCATGAAAGGCCATACCGGCCTAGGTCATGCATTCATGCATTTTAAATGGCTAAATTATATACTATGTTGAATTTATTATTCATTTATTTAATTATGGCTTACTTTGTAATAATCAATATAGATTTCACTGTTACTGAGACTGTGGTTGTCTCACCCCTTTCTTTTCAATATTCTAGGTCCAGGCGAAGGATCCAGTGGTGGACGGGGAAAAGAGCAAAGCTAGGGGTTTGCTTGTGATTTGTAAAGAACTGCAACCCCTTTCTTTTGAGCAAATATATTGTAATGTATTTAAGATTAGGGTGCCAGTAGGATATGATTATGTGTGTGTGTGTGTGAATATGTGTGGATTGTGTGCTTGTGTATGAATTTTTGTCTGTTTGCAGACTTGTGGCTAGGAAACTTGGTTATGGTGTGTGGTTTTGATGGATTTACTTAGTAGACCAAGTTTCTATTACAAGCAGATCTTTATTTTGATATATATGTGATTTTATAAGCAAATGCAAAGTGGTTGCATTGCAAATGGTGTGCTATGGGAAAACATACAGCTTGGATAGAGAGAGTGGGTGCGTGGGCCCCACAAGGAGCTCTGAGCCAAGTGAAAATGTTTAGCATATGTATTTATATAAATACATGGTATTTGGATTGATTTGTGACCACTCTTGTATGATTTGTGCATTTTGGGGGTTTAGGGTCCATTTTAGGAAATGGCACCCGGGTGGTCAAATTTTGATGTATGGGGGTTTTCCATCATTTGAATGTTCTATCAAGTGTTTTTAATCTTATTTGACGTGTCCAAAGTGTTTCCACAGGTTTGTGACCATTAGGATGGGATTTGGACAATTTTGAAAATGGTTTTTACCAAAAAGCTGCACTTTTGCATCCGGGTGTCCAAATCTTAATCCGACCGTTGGATTTCTCTAAAATTTGGGTCACAAGTAAAACCTTTTATAAGCTTCGTGTGGGCTTTGGAATCACGTCGATCGGATATCGGACGGAGAAACGACACACTCCGGAATTTGGTCTGGAGGTGCTGTCATGACAGCATTAAATTGCTGTCATGACAGCTACAGTGTTGATTTTGTAACCTGCACAAAATTCAATCCGTCTGTTGGATCTTTTCAAAATTTAGTATGCTAATAGTATTCTTTAAAAGTGACATGTGGGCTTTGGAATCACTCCGATCGGAGGTCAGATGATGAAATGGTGCACTCCGGAAGTTGGTCCGGAAGTGCTGTCATGACAGCTTTTTAGCTGTCATGACAGCAAAAATAGTCAATATTTTAACATGTCTAATTTTTAATCCGACCGTTGGATCTTTTTGAAATTTGGTACACTTATAGTACCCTTTAAATGTGACGTGTGAGCTTTAAAATCACTTCAATCGGAGGTCGAATGACGGAACACCGCCTCCTGGAAGTTGGCCCAGGAGGGCTGTCATGACAGCAATAAATTACTGTCATGACAGCATCTTTTTATTCCATTTTCGTCTAACTTGCTTCCGTGCGCTATAGGTAGAACCTATAATTATTTTTAAGGTTTTAAATGATTTATTTCTTAAGTTGGTTAGAGGATCAACTCCTTACCCACACTTAGTTTGTTTGAATTATGTGATTTTTGGATAACACTCAAGGCAAGTGTTACATGTGAAATGGAGGTGAAGAAGCCTATAACCTTACAGAGATTTTTTTAAAATATTTTAACTATCAATTTCACAATAAACGATCAACTAAACACACTTTCTTTTTTTTTTGAAAAAATTAATCTTTTAGTCCTCCAACTTTTAAGTCATTTGTAACTCAGTCCCTTAATAATGACTCGCTATGACTTAATCCCTTAACTATAACTTGCCTATGACTCAGTCCCTCAACTTTTGAATCACTTATAAATTAGTCCTTTAACTTTTGTTAATTTTTTTTTTCATGTTAGCTTATATCTCACATCAATGAGCAAGAGGAGGGTATCTTAAAATAATATATGAGCATTTTTTTATCCCTCTTATTTGATAAGAAATTTTTTTAAAAAAATTAAAAAATAAGGACAGAGTTATAGGTGAATCAAAAGTTGAAGGACTGAGTTACAGTGAGTTATAGTTGAGGGACTGAGTTGCAGCGAGTCATAGTTGAAGGACTGAGTTACAAGTGAGTTAAAAGCTGAAGAATTAAAAGATTAATTTTTTCTTTTCTTTTTTATGTTATGGGATGATATTGCTTTAAAAAAAATGTGCTTAGGATACCGGTCCCTTTCATAAAAAAAGTTTTAAAGTATTTTTACTCTTTAACCCTTCTTACTAATAGAGGGTTGCTATTGGTTAGAATATCATGAGTGCTTTTAAAAAGATGCTTTATTAATGTCAATTTTATATCAATTTTATCAACATCAAATTAATATGAAAAAATGATAATAAAGTTCTAAAATATAAAATTTATGACATTTAGGTTCTTGATAATGTTTTTTAAAAAATAAATTATTAATATTAATTCAAGCAATTACAAGAAGGAATTCCAATTATAAATTTAGAGTTATATTTGTAACTTAAGTGTCTTATTTACAATTAAAACTTATGAATTTATAATTATCTGAATTTATTATTGATTTTAGGGGGCATGGCATTAAGGGCCCTAAAAACAAAGTTTATTGTACTTAGGGCCTAAATTAATCTAAAATTGCTCTGTAGGTCTTGGGGCCCTAATTATAATATTTTTCTCACACTAAAAATACAATTTTATCTTTTGTTTGATTTGAATTTAGAACCTACATGAACCCTCGAAGCAATGGAATAGATCATGCACGACACAACATCCACTATGCACAAGACAATGTCCATGCATGCTTAACAGAAAGTTTATACATTTCAAGTATTTCACTAACTTAAGCTCTAACAAAAATGATTAGGCAGACCATGCACAACACAACATCCATTATGCACTAAACTATATCCATGCATGTTCAATAGAAAGTCCATGCATTTCGAATATTTTACTAGCTTAAGGCTTAACAAAATTACAAGTTAAGCAAACCATGCATGATACAACATCTAATATGCACAAGACAATATCCACACATGCTCAATAGAAAGTCCATGCATTTTTAGTATTTCACAAGCTAAGGCTCAATAGAAATGACAAATTAGGCAAACCATGCACAACACAATATTCACGATGTACAAGATGATATTCATGTATGCTCGACAAAAAGTCCATACATTTCCAATATTAAGAAGAATAATTACATTATATATGTAGAATTTCATGTTGGCAATGGCCTAGGTACTAAAACAAGTACCCACATGAAATTTGACATGATATTTCTGTTGGATAAGGAGGCACAGCGGAAGATTAAAATTTTAAAGTCCTTATCTTGATATGGACTGAACGACTTCGCTTAAGTCAAGTGGATAGAAGAGTTACCTTTTAATTCTTTTAAAGTTGGCGCACATTTGGATCTCAAGGGTTGACAATGTAGATCTACTCCCTCTACCGGTATCCACACAAACAGCTCTCTAACTCGAATGACGTGCTAGTACTCTCAGCGTCCGTTTTTCTTTGAACGTTAATTTTTCTTTCTATAGGATGTTTCGTGGCTCTCAAAGTATTTTTGCCATCAGAACTTTTCTAAATCTCTCTACCTTCATAAGGACACCCCTATCTATATATAATATATAGATAAGGGTTTTCGTCTTCCACTTAAAAGCTCACGAAAATTTAATTAAATTTATCTCATAAATTTAATCAATAATATCATATCTAATTCAAATTTATTTTTTAAATTTAAATTATAAAACTGACATGATATTCTCTCTTATCATATAAGTTATTAAATTTAATCTATCATATAAAATTAAATTTAAAACTAACATAATATAACATAATATAATATATATATATATCACATATATTATATATATACGAATATATATACATATATATATTTCAAATATATATATACATACATATATATATATATAATTATATTTTGAATTTTATACTTCATATAAATATATATAAATATTTATCAAATAAATATTCAAATATATATATTAAATTCATTTACCTTATATTATATTCATTGAATCTAGACATATTTCAGATTCAATGAACTTGGATATTATAGCTCAAGTTGGGCCGTTCTTGTGTGCGACCCTGTAGGCCCATATGAAATTGGCAGTAGACTAATTACACTATTAGCCCACAAGTCACAAGTGGCCTCTAGCAAGACATTACAACTACCTAATTCACATGAGAATCGATGATCCAATGTAACCTATCATGCAACCATATCACATCCCTTTTATCATACGATATTTTGATCAAGTACGAGACATGAAATTGTCATTCTCCTTTACCTGACCGGTACTTTGTTGATCTCTGAGTAGACTGATAGTAGTAATGGAAAACCCCTTTCATTATAGTATGACCATATATTTTCTCAATCTTACTTATTGAGGGGCTCATTAATATCTCTCACTTAATGTGAGGGACAAATTTCATCTTGACTACTCATATTCCTCTGCATGAATATCACTAAATTCAATCATAGCCTTTATGATCACTCGATCAATAGTAACTTTTGACTAGGTCAAAGTTCAGTAGTCATCATGCAGGAATCTATGATGATCTCGAGTTAAAGGGCTTAGTGATATAGTTACATATAAGATAAGCTTATGACTTGTACCATGCAGCTTTCTCATAGCAGGTCAATCCAGCACCTCGTACTCTTTCAAGTGCTTATGAATTTAATTTGTATCTCTATAATTAATTAAAGTCATACTAGTCTTGTTTCATCTATGATCCCTCAAAGATGACCGACCGAGGACATTTAGGACAATCACTATAGTTTGTCTAAGGATACAGTTATCATATTAAACATGCAATTGTTATTATAACAAAAGAGAAATTCATTAAATAACAATGTGCATAGTATAATGATTGGCTCTAGGGCACAATTTTTAACAATTTCAAGTCTGATATATACAAAAAGCTAGCCACTATATTCAAAATATCTAACAGTTGCTTCTCTATATACAAATAAAAAATATCTGTAATTCCCAATTACCCAAAAAATATTACTTGGGAATGCTTCGATATGCATAATTATAGTTGCCTATGTACATCAAAAAGGAACAATGTGACTACTTCTTATATTAGGTTAGGATTCTTACATGTCTTGCCATTATGTCCAGCCTCCCCATATCTTGAACAATGATAAATGTTCTTTTATTTTAATCTACAATGAACAAATTAATCTAGGTAGATGTCCATATATAGAAGCCCAACTTTTATTTTACATAACTCAAAGTTAAATATAAACAATTCAAAGTTCATTTTTGCACAGTAGATATTCTAACATCTTTGACAGTAGATCTTCTTTACATTGGGAGTCATATTTTATTTAATTCATATGTCAAAGTCCAATATGAATAAGTCAAACATCACTATTGTACAACAATTAATTCATTCTAAAACTTTCACATCCAACTTA